GAAATAAGAGTTTAAAAACTAAGAAAGTGGCCAGCTTAATAGTGGGGACAAGTCTGGAGTTGAAAATTATATCGCAGAATTTAATTGGGAAAATTGAACCACAACAGAAGATAGATTAAGTACATGAGACTGAACTGGTAAAATAGCATTTTATGACTTTTGACTAAAACATTGCTGATTTTCTTCTAGGCTTTATTTTCTGGTTTTAAGAATTTTTGTCTTGTCTTGAGCTGCTGATAGGTTCATGTACCCACTATTTGAACAGAATCCCAACCTGTTTCCTGGCTTTAAGTTTTAAGCATATTTTCTTAGCATTTCTTTGATATATTAAAGCTAAATCTGCTTTTCTTGAAATTAAAAAATACAGTAAAAATACATAATGAATGATCATAGTAAACTATATAGCATCAACTATGTGCTACCTTATAGTATATTCATTCTACTCAGAGTTTCATGCCTAAAGTCAGACATGTATTCGTAGATACATATATATTAGCAGAGCTTGCTATTGAAAGTAGTTAGATTATTTGAGAAATTTTGTGAATCAATAAAATGTGGGGGACAAAAGGAATGGAAAACAACTGTGGTAGTGTGGGAGGAGGGTGGGAAATGACAGAGGGTGAGAAATAGGGCGGAAAATATACATATATATGAGAAACTAGAAATGGAAAATTATTGACTGTAACATATGATTAAGCTACTATGCAGCATATTTTGGATGGGAAATCACATTTTTGTATGCTGTGACAATGCTCAGTGAATGAATGTAAATTAATTATTAAAAACAAAAAATTAAAAGAATTAAAAAACCCCAAACTTTTAAAATTAAAAATGCATTAAAAACACCTACTAATACCTGTTTAATGACTGCAGTAAGCTATATAGCCCCAGCGATGTGCTACTTTAGGGCTTCTTTTTTTTTTTTTTTTTTATAGAGGCTTTTGCTATAGGGCGTGTGCACTTGTCAGACAGAAAGACAGAAATCACCCTTTGGGGGGATGGCCACGCCGCAGTCCCTTTTCCTCCATTCTCCTCTCAGGATCTTGGGCTTGCACACACACGCGCTCAGCATGAATTTAAGCCGCCCAGGTCTAGGACTCGAACTGCGGTTGACTACATGGGAGTCCAGCGACATAGCCATTACTCCAACTGCTGGTCCTGAGGTGCCACTTCATAGTATGTTCACTTTACTCACTGAAGTTCACACCTAAAGGCAGACATGCATTCTTAAACATGTATATATGTATATATCAGCTGTGCTTGCTATTGAAAGATCTTTAGTGAATCAATAAAATGTGAAAAAAATTATTTCTCTATTTAATATTTTATTTGTTATTATTTATTAACCTTTTTTTTTTTTTTTTTTAATTTGACCAGAGAGACAGGGCAAGAGAAGGGGAAAGTGAGAAAGCAAGCTGCCACGTCTGGGACTCAAATTGTGTTCGGCCATGTGGGAGTCCAGTACCTTAACTACCAGCTGGCCCTGTAGAACTGATCTTAAGTACATTTGGTTATTTAATTACTTTTATCTTGGAAATACCTTTCTTGGAACTTTTTGTCTTCCTCCCATCTGAACTTCCTGATCCCTGGTGGCTTCACAGAAGTAATCCTTAGATCTTCCTTCTGGGCATCATCCTGGAGATTTCCCTTTGCTTCACTCCTGTCAGTCTTCCTCTTTCTGTTTTTTTTTTTTTTTTCTTCTTGTTTTTTGCGTTTATACCTCCTCTAGTCACGTCTTGTGTAAGATGTATGGGAGGTAACTTTGAGATTCTGCATGTATGGAAATACACTCATATTTAAGTTCTAGTTTTGCTGGGTATAGAATTCTAGTTTGGAAGTTATTTCCTCAGTCTTTTTATATACTGTTCATTTTCCCTGGATGTGCTAGGAGAGGATGCCTTGTGGTGGCAGCTGGCACTGTTTAACTTGTGGACTGTGCCATTCCAGCCTCTGCCTCCTGCTCACATGAATGCCTCTCTTCTGTGTGTGCAGTCTCCCTCTCCTATAAAGAGGACATGTTCAATGGTGATCTACCAGATAATTCAGGATAACTATATCACAAAATCTTTAGTCAAGTCATCCATAAAGACCTTTTTTCCAAATAAGGTAACATTTATAGGTTCCAGGGATCAGGACCTGATATCCTTGGGTGGCTATTGTACCACTTGTTAGAGTTACCATTGCCTTCTTCTCTCCTCACCTTTGTTGGTTTAATATTAAACAGGTGAGTGACACATTTGTGCTGCTGTTCTTGAGTCGTTTCTCATAGTCCAGTGCAATTTTCTAGTCAATACATCTTCTGAAAATAAAAGTGAATTTTTTCTGCATGTCGCTGATGCTGTTTTCTTATAAAATGAGTCTGAAAATGGACATGTTGGGACTGGAGCAGCAACTCCAGAAGAGTCATGAGGGACTCGATGCTGCTTGTTGCTTTGTGGTCACATGACTGCTGCTTCACCTCAGGCAGCATTTCTGGGTTGGTAGCAGGAATCAAAGAAAGGCAGAAGGAGAAAACAGGTGTCATATGAACCTGCTATCTAAGCAGCTTTCAGAAGCCCTGCCCAGCAACCTGATTTACATCGACTTGGCCAGACTCGGTTGCATGGCCCCCACTGTATCAGGGAGACCAGG